ATTTCAATCACCTTATCTAGAAATATACAGATCCAACAATGTTTCTGCATTTACCCCTACCTTTCCCTGATACAGGATTATGCTAGAATTTCGATTTTGAATGAGAAATAATGGATTCAGTCAGATTTCAAAATGGTATTTCTTCATTCACTGCTGATATCCATGGGACATTACTGCATCCACAGTGCAAAACTTTCTAGATATTAATTGCGTGAAGTGCCTAAGGCATGTAAAGACAAAACTGAATCTAAGTACATATAGAGCAATTTAACACAGACGGATACACAACTAGTGTGCCAGACAGTTTTGGAAGTGTATAACGACCTTGGCTGAAATCATTTGACAATCGATTTATGGCAGTGTCAAAAGGAACTGAACCAATTTATTTTGAAGCACTTTCTTCACGATCCTGTGATAAGCCGGTGACTTCTTCAGGCACAGGTGCCAAAAATCACTTGAATGGAACTCCCTCTAGAGTTTTGACTTGGCACGGTTTTCCTTCAGGAATGGTCCGATGTAGAGATGATAGGCATCTTTGACCTGTTAGAAGAGTAGACAGATATGAACTTATGGTATACACAAGAAAATCTGAAGAGGTACTTCGTAGTTGGAAACACTGGCAGTGTTGGTTTCAACCTCCTACATCATGCCTTATCATTTGGTAGACTTGTCGACAGAATGAACACAAACCCCATGGGTGCCCAAAAGTTTTGATATACCAACTAGGATGGAAGACTACCAGACTTCAAGTATTTTTAGTACCTCTTTGTCATTCATGGGAGCTGACTTGGCCCACTTGTACATGTTCTCATACACGTTGCCATCATAACGTCCCATGACTGAGGCCAGGTTGTTGTCGTCGATGTCAAAAGCATCCACCAAGGTAACAGCGTTGGGGCGGATCTCCTTCAGGAGGCGGATCAAGATGCGATCGATGGCGTCCAGCTGTTGACCTGTCAGGTAGCCATCCTGGAGGAAAAGAATCAAGATGTTTAAAATGAGAAATGACGGATATGTATCTATCAGTTCTGTCCTCTAGGTTTTCATACACCTTAAGACCCTACATCGAGATAACCCAAAAAACATCATACCAGTATATGCTTTCAGATACCCAGAGTTGTGTCACACACCTTCAGATCCTGCGCCCAGGCTATCCCAGGTTGTGAAACATGTTTTCATAAACCCAGGATATCCCACACTGTGTTCCACACTTTTAGATCCCACAGCCAGGATACACCAGGAAGTACTGCCCTGTCCTTAGACCAAAAGATCTAAAAGACGGGACTGTACCCTACCATCTGACTTCCCCCTAAATGCCACACGCCACTCTCAGTGAGTAATGCACACAGTTAACACCCTATCAAGCCTCCCCTCACCTGCAAGAACTCTCCCCTGTACTCGCTCAAGCCGTGGATGGCATACATTTGGAACATGGTCATCAGGACTTTCTTGATGGCTTCCGGGGCTTCGGAACGCTGGAGGGCAGAGAGGAAAATCTCCACGACAGCCAGGTGGCAGTGGGCCTGCAAGATAACAGTTTAGGAATGAGGTCATTTACACTGGAATTTTTGGTCAACAATTTTCAAAAGGTGACTTTAATACGAAAGTCCATCAGTTCATAAAATTAGCAGGTGTATTACAAAATGGAACCTATTCCGATCATGCTAATCCAAGTCAATAACCTAACTCTCTTTCCAAGGATGGGTTTGTGCCAGGGAGATATTAATTAATTTTGGATTTTTTGCTCTGCCCGACGTGTATCAAAACATTGTATACAAGTACTCAGTACCCGAGAACGCTTATGTGTTTTTTTTTCCACAAACCTTCGGGGACATACACTGAGTATACAGTGTAATAATACACATCAGGCAGGACAAAAAATCCAAAATGACTTGACCAAACTTTCAAAGTTTGAATCTTTACTGCTACTGATGTACGTAAATTCCACTTCACGTTATACACTGCCTGCAGCACCAGTGCAGGAACAGAATCTGAAAGGATGAGCTCTTGACAATTACAAGTAAGGTATTGAATCAAACCATTTAAGAGTCAGCTTGTGAACAGACGATGTTGTTAAGACACATCTCTTACATTGGCTGCTCTGATGAGATAGAGATGCTGCTGGTTCCAGGCTACAGCCTGCTCCAGGCCAGACTTTTCTGCCTTGTCCAGATTGGTAGCCGCTTGGAAGACAATCCTTAAAGAGGAAAGCATTCAGATTATACTCGGCAGCTGTGTAACAAGTTTGAGATTTGGTGTGCCAAACATTTTTAAGGCTTTATATGCCCTTCAAGTCTTGAGTTCCCCAATTTCAAGGACAGTTGTCCCGCACAATAGGACAAGAAAGAACAGGAAGATACTCTGATTTCTCAGACAAGAGATGGAACCAGTTTCTAGAATATCAGAGTCTAGCATAAAGGCTAACTGGTACTCCAAACACAAACACAGAAATGACAGTTTCTTCAGGTGATTAAAGTTTAGGTTTCCAGTTTCTACTGATTCGTTGGTCACTTGTAACACTTTACACTGAGCGCTTCACACGCTAGAAGTCAACTAAAAGAAAACTGGGCAGCTTTCTTTTCAAAGCAAGCTGGAACAATTTACAGCACCAACAAAACCCTCAGTCCCTGTGAGCTAACCTCTGAGCTCGGTGGCGGTAGGCATCCAGGAGCGTCTTGGCATTCAAGAAATCATCCTCTGACTGGGCCATGCAGCGTTGCTGAGGGTGGTCTGCAAGGTATGCCATGATGCCCTTGAAGGTGGTGCCGGCTTTGAGCTGGCGCACACATTTCATCAGGAACCTGCAACATCCAGAAATGATGACCTCTTTACATGATTTCCAGGATCGGTTAAGTCTTTTTAAAGAACTGTACCACAAATCTACATTCAGGAAATATGCCTTAACGGGCAGATTCCTATGCTCTTGACCTCTTCTTAATAGTTTGTCCCACTGAAACAGAGAGTATAACAAATTTTCATTTGTATTCTTTATGTTGACATGTTAAAAAGACTAGAGAACAATACTTGCAACATGGCTTATTACAACCAGACCCCTTCATACCAGTGTTTGTAATCCCAGCACAATCAAGTGTAATCTGATTAATGCCTTTTGCCTAAACTCTACAGAGCTAGCTGGGCTGAAGGTACTCAAGCGTTGCGTCAACTATGCTCTCAACCGTCTGATGGTTACTTGAGAATTGTTTGCGCTTGGAACTGTTTATCAGGACTAATTACATGTACATGTAGCATCTCTGAATTCTGCCTGACAGAAATCCACTGCCACTACTCTACGGCTACAGTGTTGCTTACCTGGCAGTCTGAAGCAGCATGACTGTGTTTTCCCCCTCATAGGTGCATGCTGGCGTCTCGTTACCATACAGCAAGGGGAAGCCGCTGGCTGCGGAGTAGCCGTGCCCACCACAGGCCATGCGCAGCTGTTCTATGCCGGGTATGGCTACGTTGGAGGTGAATGCCTTTAGGCCAGCCGCAGTGGCATGCAGCTGAAATGATCAATGGCAGAACAGGAGATGTTGGTGATGCAAGTCAGAGCTTTCAAATGAAGGCATCTATGGTATCTCTACTCCATCACGTGTGTTCCTATTTTTGAATGGTAAAACCCCAACCAAAGCTCTGAATACCACACCTGCTCATTAGATTGAAATAACAAATTTGGAACAAAAGGAGAAAGGGATGCCTCATTACCTCAGGCAGGACATTGAAGTTGCCAGCACTGACTTGGTTGACACTATCAGCAAACATTTCCTGCATATGCTTGCCAGCAAACAGGAAGGCATAGGCTGAGGCAATGTAGGGGAAGAGCTTCAGCTGTTGGCTCTGGTAATCCAACACCTGTGGTTCACCCCCGCTGGAATAAAAAGCCAAAAAGGCACAGTTGGATAGGGACGAAATGTAAATCAACTCACACCTGAAAAAGAAAACATCTGGGTGTTTTCCATGCCTTAATCTCACGTGGGGTATCTACTGCTGAGCTGTCCAAGACTTGAAATATGTTAACAAGCGTGCAACACACATTACTTAACCATATGCTGTCGGGGAGCCCGGTCTCGGGCACATAGGCTTAATACACGAAACCAGGGAGCCGAAACCGGACAAAAGAGCTAGGCCTTGTAACAAAAGACCGTATTCGGAACAAAAGACCAAGCTGGTGGGAATTGCCAACTTTTTTTTTTAGTTGTCAATAGTGGAGGAAATCCGTCCTTATTTTGAGAGATTACTTATACTTATTTGGAAAGATTATACCACTGTTTGTGGCATTCAGCATGAGCAGATTAACATCGGGGACAAAAGCACTCCAGCGATGAGCGATACAATACTGCTGCATGCTAATCTGGCCCCTATTGAAAAGATGCCAGTAGCGCACTGTGCTAGTTTCGGGAACAAAAGAAAGTTACATAACACTGCACAATCTGGGCTCTTTTTACAAAGCGGCAGGCCTAGCCGAAATATTCGGGTGTCAATAGAGGTTGTCTGTCAGATTAGAGTAGTCACCAGACAGTTATTATGAAGCTATGATTTTTGAAGAATTTTGAAAACGGGAAATCTTGAAAATCTCCCTGTTTCACATCATGCAACTTCAAATTCCACCTGGCAGCAAGTGGTTAAGGTAGCCAACTTGGAGGGCACTTGTTACAATGACAAGGAGTGCAAAGAGGTGTATTCAAACCTGCACTGTGTTCCAGCAAATCAAACCACTAACCTCTCCAGAGAGCATTTTCTATTTCGTATTTTCTCGTATCGAGCCAAAACAAAAGCACTGCCCTCAGAGATGCACTGCTGCTGTCCATTTCATGTAGGTCTACTCATGACTGCTACCACTAATAAGGAGTCACATGATAAATGGGGAAAACCCAAATTTCCTCATTCCTGTTCAAATGCATTGTAAACTGATTGGACACAACAGGAGTATGGCGTACCCTGCCACGAGCTCGGATTGGTGTCTGACTGCACTGTAGCGTGTAGCAATGGTCGACCCTTTAGCCAAGCAATGCCCCATTCCTCCAACAATCAAGCTACGAATGAGAACCATACTGCCGTAGGACAGCTTTTCAACAGGTGGGGCGACATAGGTCCCATCAGGTTCAACCTGTGGAATCAAATGAAACCCAAATGAGAACAAGTTATTGAACTGACTCTGGAAACTACATATACATAGATATGTATCTGAATTTTAACAAAAATCCTTTACTGACCTGATACATACCTGTACATGTAATTCACCAATGTATGTAGCAGTATGTAATAGGCCTCATTCCTGAGGATATCATTTTTGATTTTGTTCTTTGAATCTCTTTTATAAATCATTAACGGTTGAATAGCAGGGTATCAGATTATTTTAGAATTCTCAAGCCTCTCTTTCAATTTTCTCTGAATATGACAGAAAACTCTTAACCACTTCCTGCTGGGGACCCGTTTTCGAGAACATAGGCTTTATATGCAGAGCCGGGGAGCCCGGAACTGGGACAAAAGAGTTGGGCCTTATAACAAAAGACTGTGCTCGGCACAAAAGACTGAGCTGCTGGGCATTATCGATATTTTTTCGCTCTCAATAGTGGAGAAAATCCAGCCTTGTTTTGAAACAGTATACCATGGTTTGAGGCATTTAGATCAAGCGGATTACCACCGGGGACAAAAGCTCTCCACCACCGCAGCTATGAGCCACACAGCACCGCTGCACGCTAATCTGGCCCCTATTGAAAAGAGGTCAGTAGTTCACTGTGCCGGTTTTGGGAACAAAAGAATTTTACGTAACACCGCACAGTCTGGGCTCTTTTTCCAATGCTGCAGGCCTGGCTGAAATATTCAAGAGTCAATGAATTTTACCTGTCACCTTTAGAATAGTAACTAAAGAGTCCTTCATTTTGGTATAAACGGCCATTAAATGAAATGATTAATTTTTGAAGAACTTTGAAAAAGGAAAATCTTGAAAATGAGCCAGCATGTTGTCTTTCTCAAGAAAAATCCACCCGGCAGCAAGTGGTTAAGTAAGTTTTATCGCAAGTACAACATTATTTATCAAAATAAAGTCATTTGCCAGTAAGTTTCACTGTTTTTCTTTCGTTGATGTTTTGAAGTTCAAAAAAGGAAGAATTAACATCAGTTTAAATTCTAATATGGCTGACTTATGAATAGGGTCCACTACAAAATTGGACTCAGCGCACAGAGCGGTTGACTCTAAAATTCTTGACACCAGGGAAATCAAGACGTGGGAAATTAGTGGATTTACTGGTAACAGGTTAGAACTGGAGCTGTGTACAGGTCAACAGATCTTATTCACGGGAAGCCATTTTTTATCGCATTCCCAGAATCTATTTCATTGAATATTATCTTTCAAACTTGGAGTACCAGACTATTTGGGTTACATGCCGCATTTTTATTTCTTTTGAATGTGGCTTAAAACAGACAAAATTAACCAGAAATATTAAATTCTTCACCCAGATAAATGACATTAATATGTAAATAAGTTTTATTTTGGTGCTATCATATTTATCCTCTGGTGTCAAAATAAAATGTTAACCTCGCTTTTGATTCAATATGGCAATATTGATTCAAGCAGACAGAGGACTTGGGACTTGTTGGAGAGAGAACTACTGTAAGACTCAGTCTCCTCGGTCGCAGCTGGTACCAACCCACTCAGGACGCTGCAGACACATGTACATGTACATCAAGTATCACAAGAAAGAGTTTGCTAGCATTACCTGCTGCTTTGAAGAATGTGTAGTAGAAGCCAACAATAAATTTAAGTTGTTGGTGACATAAAAAAGTGACATTTCTAAAAAGCATTTTCAGGATATGGAAATCTGTTGCTCCTTGCTATACCAACCCGGGAGTACTTCATGAACATGTTCTCTCTGGGAATGCGGAAGTGGGTGAAGCGGAGGAATCCATTATCAATGTTGGCGTATCCCAACTTAGGACCGATGTCACCCAACTCAATGCCTATTGCAAAGAAGAAGGCCAAACACAAGTAAGAATTGACATGTCGTACATGTACGTTTACATTGTAAACTTGACGATGGTCATCAATTTTGCATAAAGTAACTATGGATCAATGGTCAAACTGTATTATGGTCACCACTGACACTGTGTACAGTTGTCTTTATCTCATTCGACCCATAGCCAGTCCTTACTGCTGGCCCCATGTGTTTCTCACACTTTTTGCCATTTGTAAAGTTTGGATACTTGACTTAAATTACATGTACACACTATGATCAGCAGGACACTGCAGTCTTTGCCTACGACAATGGCAGATCCACCTCACATCACATGGATCAGGGAGAGCAACTGTTTTATGTCTTACCTGGCAGAGGCGTATGGTCCTCCAGGCTCCGTAGTGGCACCATGAACATGTGGATTCCGTAGCATTTGCCCTTGGTGTACAGTTGGGCTGCAACCACGGCATGAGTCACAGACTTGCCAACTGAAGGAGAATGAGATTAGTTTGATTGAGTAATAGCAAAACAAAGCAAAATTTAAAGAAATTGCTCTGACCCTTAAAAAAGCATCACTCATCCCATTCTATTCAAATACTAGTTTGATTTGATCCAATGATCAGGCTCTTCAGGTGCAAATAATGGTACACGGGTGGTTACAACTTCTCTCCCGTGACATACACGTACATGTATGGTTTCAGATGAGAGTTTTCCTTCTCCTGGCAGAGCTGCCTTCCAGGTTAATGAGCCCTCCTGCCCATAAGCCCCCCCCCCCAAAATACTCCGCCTCTGGTCAGACCAAAGTTCCAGGATTGATGGGGCGATGCAGTTTTTTTTTGAGGAGGGAAAAGAGTGGCTTTTTAAGACAGGTAACAGACACAGAAATGAGTGGCATATTTAATCAAAGAGCAAAGGCTAGTAGTAGCAAATCGCAATGTAATCAGCCATCTTGCTCATTAAAACATGACACATGACCCTCTCTTTGGGCTACCATTGGAATAGTTAGGATTATTCTTACATGTACATGTACCAAATATGAGCTACATGTACATTTATGGTTCGAAACACCTCACTGAAAAGCTCTGAGCAAAAAAACGACACAATAGTCCCCTTTCTAAAAGCATTACGTGGGCTTTATCAACGTACAGTATACTGCAGTTGATTGTACATGTTCATCTACATGTACATGTACATGTACACACCCTTACTAGTACCAGTGCATGTACATTACACATGAACATGTACAGTGTATATGTAGTACAAGGGTTGTCTAGTACCCAATGGAGGGAAAAAATGCTTGTGTTATGGTAGTTCTAGGTAAATGTGCCAAAAGACCTTCACAAGAAATATACAGGCACAGGTTACTTCAATTTCTCTAACTTGACAGTGTGATCAGTGTCTTGCAAAGTTATGAACTTAAAAACTTATGAATAGCCTCTATGTTTTGCTCAAGTTCAGTCAGCTACAACACTGATAAGTTTTTAAAAACCGGTAAGCTGAAAAAGCCTTACGGTTCCCAGGCCACCACTTTATGGAAGTCAGAGTAGGACTGTGCATCACAAACTCCTCGGTGGAAGGGTCATAGGTCGCTGTAGTCTCCAGCCCACGCACAAATGTTCCTAAAATACCACAGAAATTCAAGAAAAGAATTACAAACCAATTGACTCAGAATACAATAGGCCCCAGATAACAAATTTGTAGTGAAGTTATTAAAAAATTATTATTATTTTTTATTATTATTATTATGATTATTTTTTTAAAGTCCTGTTAAACCAGACTGTTCCTTACCCATATTTTATATGGAGCCTGTATAAAGTTTCCTGGAATACTTAAAAGAGCATGTACTGTACATATACCAGTATACGTAACAGACACATACATGTACGTGTATTCACGTACATGGGGTAAAGCAATACAGGTACAAAAATGGACATGTACACTGTACGTGTACATACTGTACATGTATGTATGTTATTAAAAACTTAAAGGAAACTCTGATTATTTCTACTCTAAAGTTTCTGCATTATCACAACCACCTTTTTGCTTCAATTAAATCTACAGTACATGTATCACTGCTGGTATTTCAAGTCATACACCATGTTGTTCAAGGCTCCTGTCAAATATTCTGCTATCGTCGTATATTAATGTCTACCCCATGAAAATCCTGCTGTTGGCATTCTTGGGCCACCATACATGTAGTTTACACTCGTGTACATGTACAATGTACACGTATGTATGTTACAGTTCGATAAATTTTTGACAAGGCACCAAGGAGGGGTGCACAGTTTGACCTTTGTGAAGAATTTGCATTATGCAATGCACTGAAGCATTGTATAATTGGAAAACATTTGTCCTTTGGTCACAAACAGTTGTCTCTCTCACAGTAAACAAACCACAATCATGCTAGTGGACTAGATAAGTTTGTGGTAGCCTGATGGGTATACTGTTATCTCTTTTGTGAGTACATGTACATGTATATTGTTCTAAAAAGAACCGGTGATCCTACACAATCATGCTACTAGTACATGTACATTACATTAGAGGGAACTTTGTTCATTTGTCTCAAGATCTACATGTGTATTAACCCATTATCCAGTTTTCACAAAGACATTACATGTGCATGTATGGCCGGTGGGAATTTGAATATGCATCTCCGAAGTTGTGGAACAGTAAATCATGCGTTACAGTTGAACAGTTCAACCATATGCTGCCGGGTTTAAGTTGAAATTGCATGACGTATATCCAGGAGATTTCAAGACTTTCCATTTTCAAAATTCTTCAGATATTCATAACTTCATTTACCTGTTTACTGGACATTTACACCCACACGAGTGACTGTCTGGCGTCTACTCCGATCTGACAGACAACATCTATTGATGCCCCAGTATTTCAGCCAGGCCTACCACCTTGTAAAGAGAGCCCAGACTGTGCAGTTTTACTTAATTTTATTTTGTTCCTGAAACTGGCCCAGTGCACTGCTGGGGTCTATTCAAATGCAGACCAGATTAACATGCAGCGGTATTGGACCGCTCATTCCTGGAACGCTGGAACGATTTTGTCTCCGGTGGTAATACGCTCGTGCTAAATGCCACAAACAGTGGTGTGTAATTATTCAAAACAATGACGGATTTCCTCGGCTATTGACAACTGAAAATACAGTATGTTGGCAGCTCGGTCTTTTGTTCCAAGTACGGTCTTTTATTACAAGGCCCAGCCCTTTTGTCCGATTTCGAGCAGCTCGGCTATGCATATTAACCCAAGGAGTCTGGTAATGGAAACCCAGGCACCAAGAAGTAAAAATAAAACTAAAGACTTACACATACGTGTACTGTACATGTACCTGCTTTCATCTATCAGTGCATAGAGAGACATTTTGTAATATCCACTATACCGACAAGTATAAGAACTGATTATTATTATTATAGCATAATGTCTACAAGTTTCAAGAAAATCCTGGTGAAGGCATTCCTACCTAGTTTACAATCTACACATTTATGTATGTTACAGTTCACTAGATTTTGACAAGGCATCATGAAGAGGCGGTGCCGTTTGACCTCTGTAATGAAGTTGCATCGTACAGTGCATGGCAACCATGCTATAATTGGAAAGCATTCGTCCTTTGGTCGCAATCAGATGTCTACTCACAACAGAATGGTCCGGAGTAAACAAACCAATCACTTTTATCTACAAATGTAAATCTGCACTTTGAAAATTTACATAACCTCATCCCCACCGGTAGAACAAATATTACCTGCAGTACCTACTGGCAACCTGACAGGAGGGAACCCAACTGTGAACTACACCTACAGTATTGCCCTGATCATAAAATACAGGCAGACAGGTATACACCGCACATGTACATTGTGTACATGGCTTCTCGTACATTGTAACACATTGCTGGAACACTGCACATACTGTACAATGTTCCGGTACATGTACATGTCGTTACATGTGCGTGTTCATACTTCAACATGTTCTGTACCAAACACTAATATAGGCCCTATCCTGTTTTCAACACTATTGCCATATAATACCCACTGAAATGGATAGGCCTATGATCATGTCATAGTGGCAATAAAATCTATGTCAAAAGAGTTTGGACGTACCATGCCCAAGTTCTGTTTGGGCATAGGTGGCCAGGTACTCCCAGTTGTGGGCCTTCGTCAGCCACACGTCCTTCTGTTCGTCACTCAACTGGGTTCTCAAGGCGTGCATGACCATGCTGACATGCAGGGATAACTGGGGGACATCAATCTTGTTGGCAGCTCTGCCCAGGTGGGAGAAGCCAAAAGAAGGTTTACCAGTATATGATCGTTAAGGTCACTAAGGTGCAGTTGGAGCTTTATTAGTTTAAAGCATCTACTCAAACATGTACATGTAGGTACTGGTACATAGGCCTCGTCATAATGGGATGAGCAAGTATGGTGGTATGGCTGGCTTTCGGACACATGAAACAGGAGGCAAAAGATGTTGGCTGCAATGGGCATGTACGTGTCACATACAATTGGCCAAAATAGAGAAATGGCTAAAATAGCTCTGCAACGACAGACAAGTGAGTACAGCAGACAATTGTGATCACACGGGTATGTCATAGTGGAGAGGTCGCCACAAGCAACAGATGGGAAGCCATATTACTCGTAAGGGGCCACAACAGGTTGCCACACAGGTGGCACATTCATGTACATGTTAAAATACGTACAAATACATACATCTACCTGTCCCACACGTGTATCATAAGACTAGAGTTAACTCAAGTCAGGATTTTTCACGACCTTGTCTGTGTTTCAATGCTTTGGATATGGAGGATGCACGTTGTTACTTGCTTTGCACCCTCGTGTCCATTTTTCAGAAATCCAGACTTGACGAATCTGCGAACCATGTGTACGCAGCGAATCAGCTCATCTACCAGTCATTCAAATTGCTGGACTGGTTTTTACATCGTTCCTACCCGGTAGATACTGTACATGTACCGTAATGTACACCTGTAAATCATAATGAACGAGTCTACAAGTCTGACTACAGGTACATTGTACTTCAATTGGGTGAAATTCCATACATGTATGCAAGATCATGTCGTTCATGCGATTATGAATAAAGTTCTACATATTGCCAACGGGGAGTCTGATTGGCTTAAGAGTATCTGTCAAGTCAGACTTACTGACTGGTGGCATACATTGTAGAATCTTTGACATTGACACCAGAAATCGCAGAAAGGCTATCAAATGACGGCGCCTTATAAATAAGAAGTACAGTGTAATGCGAGCGGACGAACACGACGACCATGTAATGTGAACAGCGAAAGGATGGCTGACCCAGGAAGAGCAACATACATGTACATGTACTGTAAGTCCGACTTGATTCAAGTCTACTGTTGCATACGACAAGTGGTCTTCACAGGCATTTGTTATCGCAAGTGATGCCATGTGTACAGTGCACGATGAGGTGCAGTGAAGGTGGATCCCGTAAAATACAACTGTATGACTGTGAGATGTGCCAAAAATTTGAATTCCACAAGAGTGGAAGACCGCAGAAAAGATTTGTGCTCATTCACACGAAAAGCTGTTTTGTATACTGCACTCATAATGATGTGTGTGTCCTAATGTGCATGTACAGGTACGCCATGGTATGACAATTACCTGGAGGTTATTAAAGTCACAGAGACCTTATACTGTACATGTGCCTGTTTTGTGTGTATGCCTGAAACTCTTGTCTGTCATGCAGTACATGTACATGTCTGTAGTGAAGTTAATTATTTCATTACTTTTCACTTTAGTTGATGCAACACAGGTTTACAAGTAAAATGCGTTTTGGGGTTTTTTGGCAGGATTGTTAAAGTGTAAAAGTGTGAACTGATTTAGCTTTTCAGGGCAGCTATTTTGATGAAATTCCATGTTGCTCACAATCAGTGTTGCAGTCAAGACCACCTTCACAAGACCAACACAAGACTTCCAGTCTGAATTCAAGTCACAAGCTGAAACAAAAGCATTCCTTTGTCATTGTTCAACCTGTTATTTGTGACTAGTCCTGTGCATGGTCTCATGTGTCTGGTCTCGTGTCTGGTTTTGTGATGGTCTCGACGGCAACACTGCTCATACATGTACACTGTAATTCCTGTGTACATGTTCATGATGTTCGTATGGTACATGTACATGTATGTTAGTGATGTCAAACTTCGAGAAACTGGTCTGCACATTAACAGCATGTTGGGCTAGAAAGTGAAGATGTCATCACAACTTCACAAACTACAAGCAACAGCATGTACACATAGCAGTTGAGACAAATTAAAAAAAAAATATGCACAAGTAAACAGAAAGAAACATATACATGTAACATGTATAAGCAGACTTCAACACAATACATGTATGTGCCAGCACAGTGTCCAAATTCTTGCTCTGTGATGAAGCCATTGACGGAAGTACAAGTAACGGGAAAGATACAGCATCTGGCAAAGGTACATGTACATGTACAAGTCACAAGGGAGTAAAAAGTATGGCAAGGTTCCACAGATAGAAAGCACACGACATACATGTACATGTACATGTGGGGACTTTCATGCCACAAGTCATGAATATTCACAAAGCTGGCATGGCCTTATAAAGCACACTGAGGAGGTGGGATAAATACATAATCTTCAACGTAAGGCTGTCATTCAAGTCAGAGTCCAAAGTCATGTCAGAGGTCCCAATATTGCAATTGAAATCAAATGATTTGTTTTAACCACTGATTTACATGTAATTAAGTCAATAATTTGATTATTTTTACGAAAAGAGCAACACTGTTATTTTTCAAACTTTTTAACTGCTTAACACCAGTACATGTACACCTTTGTCCAAGTTTTTTTTCACCTTTTAAATGACCCGTACATGTACATGTATGTAAGTGTACATGCACTGGTATCCTTCCTTGAGCCCTTTAGTACAGGTACTAGTACCGGTACATGTACTTTGCTGACCTTAGGGAGGCTGAAATTCTTATTTCAAACAACAGCCTCTGAGATTTCAATAATGTACAAAAAGTTTATTTGAGCATATCCCAGAGGAAGAAAGTACCCTAGTTCTAATGTGACATTATACACATTGATAGGTTTGTACAATATCATAAAACATGTTTTACGATCTGAACTGCAAGGAATCAACAGAACAAGGTTTTAGTACATGTATAGCGGTACAATGTACAAGTACATTAACCCTAACACTCCTCAATCCTTCACCAGTTGGAGGACTGAGGAGTGTTAGGGTTAACCCTTGGAAGCTGCATCACTGAAACTCTCTACTCCACCAGTATTTTGTACCGCCAGATGCTATTCTGCATGTACTGGTACATGTATTCACCTACATATAGGCTTGGGCTTGGACACTATTGAAGGTGTTTATTCACTGGCAATATTGGATTTTTATCAACATGGTAAATCTGGCAAGTCAAATACCAATTTGTTAAACTTTGTAACAAAAGATAAATGTACATGTACATGTTTTATTGTAAACCAAATTAACACAATACATTTAGATTACATTCAAATGTTCATGTCTTTAGCTAAATTTGCTGCTTTTGGAATAGAAAACTCAGCCAACTTATGTGTATTACCAGTTGAAAAAAATAAATACATGTGTATGTAAGTCAAGCTTGACTTAAAAACGATTTAAGCTTTCTAACAGCCTTTTCTATTCATAACATAAAAAATTGCCAATGTGGCAATATTGTGAACCACAAAACTCAATGCAATGCAATAAGAAGCCTGACACCAGTGGGTCTCATGACAGATACATACACTGTATGTACATGTTATGTACATGTATACATACAGCAGGGATGCAATACAATGCACTATACATACATGTATATCTATGGTACTGTACATACATGTACATACACTGGTACGTACATGTACATGTAGAGCAACTGTACACACATGTACAGTGTACATGAACTATATATGTACATGTACACAGTACATGTATCCAAGCGTAATGCCCAAACGAGAATTTCAACTGTCAACAGCAGTATTACAGTAGTGACATGTACATGTACTAGCTAGTACACCGTATCTTACTCTATAAACGCTAGTATAATGGCAACAACTGTACATGTACATGTATGCATGGAACGATGAACACGTACGTATGCATGTTAACTATAGAACAAGCTTGCATGGTACTTGTACACCATCCAGTATGTACTTACATTTAAGTGCTCTCTGCGCATACATGTTTATTTGACAAAGCTTTAAATTGTGAGGGCTACACATTTCATCACAGTTTTCATGAAGAGACAAAAGTCTCACTGGAGAACAAACCACGTTTCGAGAAAATCACTTAAAATCAAAGTTGGTCTCTTTCTCAAATGCTTTACATGTGTTTTCCTAGTACACCTGTACATGTGCAGTAAGTGCATGCAGCATTCCTTTGACTTTAAAAACCAATGCTACTCTATGAGAGATCTTAAATGACAAGAAACTACAAAAAACAATGGAGCACTGTTATAACGAGGTCCTTGGACATCACAAAGTTTCTTGTAATGATGTACATGTATACTGGTATATGTACATGTACACGTAGGTGTACAGTACAGTACATGTACGTACATGTATCAGTAATGGATTAACCAAGAAAAACAAAGATTTGGGACCAAAACTTGTCCTTGTCATCAATACAATGTATTACTTTGTATTGACCCTAACCGCCAAGCATATTGTTTGGCTTGCACTACACAGTACTACAAAATACTACATGTAAGTAATAGTCTGAGCCTGAAGGACCTACATGTAGCGCTACAGATTACTACTTCTGCCTAGATTACTTCCATTGTTACTCGTACAGAGAACAATAAAGCCATGCATTCATAGTGCCACAGCACTGTATGGTTCATTGTCTTATCTATTGTACATGTACCTTACGGCTTCAGAGAACAATGCGGTCATGTCCTCTTACATGTACATGCGGCAGCACTGATTACTACATTTTACTACAAGTAGTAATTTGTAGTATTGCATGTATGTTCATGTAGAGGGTTTGCGAATATACCATGTAGAAAATATCTCTTTCAAGTACATGCATGTGAGGTTCTGAAAAGAACCGGTTACTCTTTAACCAGTTCAATGTACATGTATGGTACATGTACATACATGTACATTGTATCTCAATGTACCATACATGTACATGTACCTCTACCATAGCAGGTTGTTGTCATGCAGGTACATTGTACCAGTTTTCTTATTGCTAGTCACAGATTAGAGACATTAATGTTTTAAAAAAAACTCCAATTGAAATCAAAAGTTGGTACAGTAAAAGCACCAGATCACAGTACGTGTAATTCAAATGCACAACTTTCTTGAATGCACCTCTCGAAGTACATGTACATTGCCCCCCTCAATCCCCTCCACTGACACATACGTGTACATGTAACAGGATCAAGTTACCTCCCCTCGGAGAACCTACCATGTCCCAGTTCTGTTTGGGCATAGGTGCCAAGGATGGTGTGGTCTTGCGCTTTGGTCAGCCACTCAACTTGCTGTTCTTCCGTTGCCTGCGAGAGCACGCTGTGCATGAACATTGACTCGTGCAAGGTCATTGAAGGTAGGTTCCCGAAGCTTGCGGCACTGCTCACAACACAACACACAGCCAGTTACACCAATTAAGACCTGAAGACTGAGCGAATTGAGCTGTTAGAACTGTCAACTGTTACCCTGAATGGGTGCAAGTACAGGCCACGTACACAGTAATAATGTGTGCATGTGCCTGTAGAAAGCATACACTATTTACCTGAGAATGTACATGCATAAAGTCACTGTAATGAATAAACGTGCCGTACCATGCCTATACCAGTACGTGTGATGCACATGTGATGGTACAAAGTACATGTACATGTACATGTATCCTGTACAATGCACCTGTGGTGATTCCCGTTTCAATCATAAGTCTAATATAACTAAAAATCAAGAAGCAAGTGAATAGATTAGACGGTACATTGTAATTAATTTTTTAATTCTACACACACATGTACATGTATGCCTATGCATGTGTACACGTTATGTACAGTACATGTATGTACATGTAGAGCTGTCAGTGTGTATGCATGGTATCACTCACATTGGAATGTTGAAATAGCCAGTGTTGAATTACAAAGAATACAGGTGTTTTGGTTCCAAGCCCAACATGCTCACTAAAACCTTATTTGTACAATAGCATTCAGACAACATACCTGTACACTGTACATGTACATGTATGGTACACGTACAGAACATGTACAGTACATGTACATGCAGGCCTACTGGTATGTTTGACATTTTAAACTACATACAACATTGTACAATGTGGTTTAAACTTTGGCTTTTTTGTGCTTTGGGGTTTTTTCTACATATTAACATAAAAACAAGCCCATGATGCTATGAAATGAAATGTATTACATTTCAGCAATCAAATGGTATGGAGATGGTCATGATGGTGTGTGTTTCAAAAAGCAGAACTATTAACATAGTGCATACTGTACCGGGCCTAGAGCCAGGTAGTCATGTAGTGTGTGCTGAGGTGTACTTCAAAAGGCAATGTTACATGCATACATGTACATGTGTAAACTGATTTGCATATTTTTGTTAAAATATGTAACAATTTGTTGCAATACACAATGCACTGGCCAATCACAGTGCGCTGGCCAATCACAATGCGCGGAATCTGTTGATCCCTTCCAAGTGCACATTTGGTCGACAGATTTTGTGCATTGTGATTAGCCAACGCATTGCAAACTCTTGGAGGCTCCCACATACATGTAGATAGCATCTTCCAGTACATACATGTACGCAATCTAAACAATGCCTGACAGCATAATGGCGAACACATTGCCCGGATTTTAGCTGTGCTATGAAAATGTCAGTGTTACTGTATGCTTTGTTGATCTCACATACATGTACACTGTATAGCACATGTGCATACTGGTAAGTTAACTGCCTTTTTCTTCTTTTTATGGTTATGAAAGACTATTTCCAAAAAGGGAAGAAAAGATGACAATTTAATACAAAACCAATCAATCAACCAGACTGCAGATCATCAGGTGATTATCCACTACC